CGCAGGTGAAGCCAAGGACATTCACATCGACAATCTGCGCGATGGCCTCAAAAGTCATCTTATCGCTGGTGGCCAGGTTGGTAGGAAGGCATCCGAATACGCCGGCATTGTTGACGAAACAGGCCACGGAGGACAGGCCGTTAATGGTATTTCCGAGTTTATCAAAACTCTCGACCAATGATAAAATGATGCACCCGTATAATTCCATGATGTTTGCTTTTGATGAGCACTTGATTCCTAGCACAAGAGGTGAGATTAAATGGCAGAATACTACTACCAATACGATTCTTAAGCTTCGTGATTCTGAAAGCTGTCATAGTCGTTCGAAAAACGCATGCCATAAAAGCAGATTTGGAGCGTAAAGTGCAGCGGGGTTTAGTTTTTAAGCCGATGTAAGTTGTTTTAGCAGAAAACCCGCAATTAGGTCAATTTCTCTATTATTTGAATTCATACTATATATATGTGGCAGCAGGTTCGAAACTCGGTTGGTGTTTTCGCCTGGGATCAGGAATGACTGGCTGATGATGGCTAATAATCCATAAACAGCCACTCTTCCTCTTGCCTTTTTTTCTAAATACTCTTAGATGTATAAACGAAACTAACAAACCATTGACGACTCAAACTGAGGAGCCGAGCGTTATGGAGCAAATGTACTTGATGACGTATTTCGGTGAAATCGAACACTATTAGGCACCCACGAGGAGAGACCGTTGATGGTATCCCTAAGTTCACCGAAGCTCTCGAGTTAGGCCAAAATGTACCCGTATACCGGTAGATTTTTCTAAAAGAGAATTAGAGACTGTAGGTTAAGAAATAATATTATTTCCTTTTTTAAAAATTTATTTCTTATAAAAGGGTGTTCATTTCCTGCCTAAGTGGAGCACATGGAAGTGCTTCTAAATGAACCAAAACCACAATCCCGCTTCTGTATCAAATGAGATTGTGTTATAAATGTCCAACCGTGGGAACTAAATCAACGATAGTGTGTCTTATCTCATCTGTGTGTTTCTTTTACGTGGTGGGCCTGACAGATCTAAGCGATTTTAAATAATAAAAAAGGCCTTTTGTATGCCTTATTTTTTTTCAGTGAACTCAAATCGGACGTCAAAAAACTTGGCTCCACAATATTTTGATTTAAGTTTACTTCTCGTTCAAACAAAAAGCTCTAATTAACTAAAGTCAATTTTCTGAATAGTAAAAACTATTTTTGCTGGTGATGATAGAATTTGCGGTTATATTAGCCAAATATCGTCCCTCCAACATAATCAGAAGAACAAACTTTGCTGCAACAGATTCTAATTATTTCCGGAGTTCC